GTATATTACATATTGAGGCACTTGGTATCATCTCAAAGATTATGTTCCATATCAAGATCTGACATTAATATTTTATATCCATAAAGGGATTTTAGCATTTTTAACAGACTTTTACATAATTTCCAATGTTCATACAGCTGCCATATTTAATATTTACATGCCTTCTAAATTCTGATACTGATCATCAACTTGTGATACAGTGAGAAGAAAAAGATTTAAAGGCAAAAGATCTAGAATTAAATTGCACAGCACATAGTACATGATTCTGAGTAAGTCTCTTACCCCCTCATTGCTGCCATAAAACAGGAATAGCAACTGTACATACACCACAAGACTACTGTAAAAACGAGGTAAGACAATTATGTGAAGAGTACTTCGCAAACTATAAAGAGCGGTATAAACGACACTCAAGATTTGTTAAAATTGCAGGGTTAAGTTGGCATGAGACGGTGAGATTCTTTTATTCATTCTAATCGCTTTTTCTGACACAGATTCATATACAACCTAATAGAGGAAGATTCTCTATTTCTATTACATATAAATACAGGTTCTGACCTTTTCGAGGATCCGATTTTTGCATGGTACCATCAGCTATATCAAAGAAGAAAGCGTTCCTCCTTAGCAAGATGGAGAAATCTGGAAGCAAAAGACAGAAAAAAATTAGAAACGTGAACTACTGTAGATCAAATAAGACTGCAGTGAAATTAGGCTTTTATCAGAGGAAGCCAACAGTCTGGACACCCAAACGGGGTTCCCAAGGGCAGCGATTCAGGTAAGTTTTCGATTTCCAGGATCCTTCCCTCAGTTTTGTGGGTTCAGAACACTGATTCTGTTAAAAACAGAATATATTCTTGAGGGTAGTTCTACAGATCATCAAACAATGATGGATAAATAAGAATGTTAACTTACTAATTTATTGTGAGAAATGTAAGAGTCACGTGACATAAAACACTATCTGCTGAAAACTACAAAATACTGCTGAAAGAAATTTAAAAAGACATAAATGGAAAAGACATTCTGTGCTCATGAATTGGAAGACTAACACTGTTAAGGGGACAATACTACCCAAAGAGATTTACAGACTCAATGCAATCCCTCTCAAAATCCCAATGATGTCTTTTGCAGAAATATAAAAAGTCATCCTAAAATTCATATGGAATTTCAAAGGACCCCAAATAGCTTAGACAATCTTGAAAATCAAGTCTAAAGTTAGAAGATTCACACTTCCTGATTTCAAAACTTACTACAAAGCTAGAGTAATCAGAGCAGTGTTGTACTGGTGTAAGGACAGACACACACCCCAATGGAACAGAATTGAGGGCCCAGAAATAAACCCTACTATATATGGTCAGATGATTTTTGGGAAAGGTGCCAAGACCATTCATGGGAAAAGGATATTCTTTTCAACAAGTAATGTTGGGAAAACTGAATACCCATATGCAAAAGAATGAAGTTGAACTTTTACCTTATACTATATACAAAAATTAATTCAAAATGCATCAAAGACCTAAACACAAGAGCTAAGATTATAAAACTCTTACAAGAAAACACAAAGGAAATCTTCATGACACTGGATTTGACAATGATTCTTGCATATAACATCTAAACCACAGGCAATGAAAGAAAAAGATAAATTAGATTTCATCAAAATGAAAAACATTTGTGTATCAGAGGACACTATCTGAGTGTGAAAGACAACCTATACAGAGTAGGAGAAAATACTGCCAAATTATATATCCAACAAGGGATTAATATCTAGAATATATATTGGAAATTCTAATATCTAGAATATCTAGAATATATAAATATATCTAGAATATATATCTAGAATATATAAAGAACTCCAACAATTCAACAACAAAAAACCCTCAAACAACTCAATTAAAAAACAGGCAAGGGACCTGAATAGACATTTCTCTGTTTATCTATACAGATACCAATAAGCACACGAAAAGCTACTCAGGATCATTAATCAATAACAGAAATGCAATCGACATGAGAATGAGACACCACACCCATTCAAATAGCTATCATAAAAAAACAAAACAAAACAAAAAAAATAACAAGTGTTGCCATGATGTGAAGAAATTAGAATCCTTGCGAACAGGTAGTAGGAATGAGAAGTGATGCAGCTGCTGTGGATAATCTCAAAATCATAAACATAAAATTACCATATGATCCAGCAACTCCACTCCTGGGTATATATCCAAAAGAACCGAAAGCAGGGACTAAAACAGATACTTATACACTAATTTTCATAGCAACATCATTCATAATAGCCAAAGGAGAGGAACAATCCGAGTGTCTATCAGTAATTGAATGGATAAATAAATGTCCTTTATACACACAATAGAATATTTATTCCATAAAAGGGATACAATTCTGATACTTGCTACAACAGAGACACATCTTGAAAACATTACTCTAAATGAAATAAGCCAAACACAAAAGGACAAATATTGTATGATTCCACTTATACTCGGTAACTAGAATAAGCAAACTCAAGAGATGGAAATTAGAAGTACTAGGGGCAGGGCAGAGGAAGGAATGGAGAGTTATGATTTAATAGGTACAGAGTTTCTGCTTGGGATGATGAAAAAGTTCTGGAGATAATAGTAAGGCTACACAACACTGTAAATGTACTTAATGCCTTTAAGTGGTTAAAATGGTAAATTTTACTTTACATATATTTTACCACCAAAAAAAAAAAAAAAAAGAAAGAAAGAAAGAAAAGAACAGGTAACAGGTGGGTCTGCATCACAGTCCCATTCAACCATCTCACAAGAGAAACAGACAAAGTTTCACAGGGATTTAAAAGAAACTAAGTTCTGGAGTTATAACATTCTCTTTCCTGAGTAATCCTAGATGAAACCAGCTATCAATTTTCTCTACGATGTCCCATTCTGCAGGCTTCCAAGCTATCCTCTGATAAATACATCCTTTCTTTGGATAACATTATTATCTATATAAAGCATGTGGTAGAGATGGGCTTTGAGTCTGAATACCAATTCTGTCACTAGCTTTGTAAACTTAGACAAGTTACTAAATGTCTCAGAGCCACAGTTCCTGTATCTTTTTTTTTTTTAAGATTTTATTTATTTATCAGAGAAAAAGCACAAGCAGGGGGAGCAGCAGGCAGAGGGAGAAGCAGCCCCTTTTTGAGCAAGGAGCCTGATGTGGGACTTGATCCCAGGATCCTGGGATCATGACCTGCAAGCGATGTTGGTCGGGGGAAGCCTGATCCTGGCAGCTGTTGCAATACTAGAATTGTTGGGTTCTTTAAATCGAGTAGTGAAGGTAGAAGTGGGCTAGGGGCAACATGGATGAACCTCACAAACAAAATTTTGAGTGGAGGGAAGCAGACATGAAAGAGTACATGAGGTAAATTTTGTTTATATGAAGTTCCAAACAAGCAAAACTGTTCTACAATGACAGAAGTCAAGACAGTGTTTACTCATGGGTGGAGTGGTGACTGGGAGAGGACACAAAGGAGTGCTTCTTTGGGTGCTGGTAACAATGTCTTTCTTGGTTTAGAGACACATTGTAAAAGCTCATTGAGCTTTGTACTTAGGATTTGTGCACTTTTCAGTATGTGATACTTTATTACAAAGTCATTTTTGAAGTGCATAGCACAGAAACTAGCTCGTAGTTGATTCCCTTCCCCTATCATGGTTTCATAAGTTAACAGTATGAAAGTCTATTTAACAAAACGATTCTAGCCTCTTTTCTTTGTAACCTCTCAGTTTCTTTTTTTCTGTTACGGTTCTCTGTCTCCTGGTTCCAGTCTTATACCTGGGCATGTTTAATAAATATATATGGTGGTAATCCCAACTGGTGTAGCTGAAAGAGTTCAGATCAGTCAGATAAGGTAAAATTCAATGTCTTACCACTGATTTAGGAGTAAATCAGCAATACGAATTCTGATTTGGTGTTATTCTCTGACGATTACTTGATTTGATATTTTGCTTTTTAAGTGGCGATTAAGTGGATTTTTAAATTTTGCCTGATTTCAGATCAACTTCATTATTGAGTTTTTTAATGGTGGAACATTGGACCTATTCTCTTATTTCTGGCACTTTTAATACACACCAGTTTTAGTATAGTAGGCTTTGAAATAGTAATGGTCACACCCTGTGACACCTCATATATTTTGCTTGGGTTCTCATCACTGAAAGAGAACCGTAGGTATTGTTTTTACCTTATTGCTTTGTACTACAAGTATAAAAACAGAACTTAGGTACTTGGAAATTTATGCAAGGTCCTATTATAAAAAACTTAGACTTGTTGAAAAGCCAATTAAAAAAAACTCATTTATTTTTTTCTAATATAGGCAATGTGTGGGATATAAAATAAGCCTATGACAGTCTCTGTCCTCAGGGAGGATAGATTTCCTGTAGGCGAGATTTGTGATCGAGGCAGAAAATGAATTTTTCTACATTTACTTTTGGTCTTTTGGATGTTGTTGGTTTTGGAGAGAAGACTTGGACTTGGACTTTGAAAGAGAAGGTTTCTGACAGAGATACTAGGAAGGCCTTTAATCCACAGAGAGCTGTGGTGGTGATTCTGTGAATGCCAGTGAAGCAAAGAGGACCTGACCGACGTTGTTAGGGATTAGTACTGTGACAAAAAGCTAAGGAGGTGGGAGGAGAACCCCCTACCTATCACATACTTACTTATATCCATTCATTAAAATAGATAACGCTATTCAACGCTCACAAACCCTTTGGAGTAGACACTATTATTCCCACATTAAAGATGCAGAAACTGGGGAGCCTGGGTGGCTCAGTCAGTTAAACATCTGCCTTTGGCTCAGGGGGGCAGAGACAAGCGGGGACCTCGGGCGACCACTGACACAGTGGCTGGGAGTGCGCACCGCCTGTGGGAGGCTGCAGTGCTCAGTGGAGATTGCAGCAGGGAAGTCTGTGTGTTCTGATTTCAAGCTTTACTCCCATTTAGTTTAAAAAAAAAAAAAAAAAGCTGAGATTCTGACGTTAACTGAGAGAGATTAATTAAGGCATTCAAGGTCACATAGCTACTAAATAGAAAGGCTAAAATTAAAAGACTGTCTAATTTGAAAGTCCATGCTCTTTCTGGTTCCATTATGCTTGCTAACTGTATTTTAAAACAACAAAAAATTAATCCCTTTCCTGGTTTATGTGTAGAGGCTTGGCAAACAGTCAAAGACCATGCAATTTAAGTATTGTCAGCAGGAGGAAAGAGTTACCTAGTGCAATGGCTTTTAAAACTTTTATGACTGTGACCCACAGACTCGACGCCAGACATTTATATACAACGATACGCAGTCCTGAAAACCTTGCACTTTGTAAAAATTATGCACTAAAAATGGTCTTGGGGGAAAAACAGTTAGGAATAGACTAAAAAGCTTATGGAACTTTGTATCCTTTACACACACACACACACACACACACACACACCCATAAGGATCTGGGTCATTAAGAAAAGGTTAAATTAGGCTCAACAAACTAAATTAAAAAGAAGAAGGGCAGCACAATTCATTTTAGAGTAATTTCCAACTAAAACGATTCTTAAAAATAAAGATTTAATGTATAATCGAACAAACCTGTAGTTACCCAGAACATTAAGCTTCTAAGAGTGACTTATTTCCCCAAGGTTTC